GTTGTTTTTCAGGGGTTGGGCTTGGCCGTTTAGTTCCCGTGAAAGGAACTGTTAATGCTTTAGCATACCAAGACATTTTGGACAGTATCCTGCTCCAACTTTGTCAAAACAGTTTGGGGATGACCCCTTCCTGTTCCAATATGACTGCACCCCAGTGCACAAAGCAAGGTCCATAAAGACATGGATGAGCAAGTTGGTGTGGAGAACTTAACTGGCCTGCACAGAGTCCTGATCCCAACCCGATGGAACACCTTTGGGATGAATTAGTGGTGACTGCGTCCAACATCTATGTCTGACCTCACAAATGCACTTCTAGAAGAATGGTCAAAAGTCCCCATGAACACACTCCTAAACCTTGGGGACAGCCTTCCCAGAAGAGTTGAAGTTGTTATAGCTGCGAAGGGTGGGCCAACTCCATATTAAACCCTACGGATTTAGAATGGGATGTTAACCTTCATGTGCATGTAAAGGCAGGTGACCCCAAACTTTTGGCAATATAGTGTATCTTAATCAATTGTCTTGAAGGGGTGTCCTCACTTTTGCTGCCAGCGGTTTAGACATTAATGGCTGTGTGATGTGTTATTTTGAGGAGACAGCAAGTTTACACTGTTATACAAGCTGTACACTCACTACTTTACATTGTAGCAAAGTTTAATTTCTTCAGTGTTGTCACATGAAAAGATATAATCAAATATTTACAAAAATGTGAGGGGTTGTACTCACTTTTGTGAGATACTGTACAAAGCCCTTAATGGGCTAGGGCCAACCTACATTGCTAACTCCCTTGTTAATTAACTGCTACTGGTTTATTGGAGGTTCCCAGAAACAGCTGAAAGAAGATCAGGGATGCAGCCCTTGTCAATTACACTCCAAAGCTACGGAACAGACTGCCTATCAGGGAAGCCAATCGCTAAATATTTAAAAAGAAAACTAAAATCTTTTATCTTCACTTGGGCTTTTAACTAGCTAAACTTGTTTTTATGAAGCACTTGGAACATGCCATTTCTTTGCTTTGTAAAGCATTTTTGAGCTGCATTTCTTGTATGAAAAAAAAATGCCATACAAATACAGTTTCTTATTATTAAATGAGGGAGCCATGGTGGAGAAGGCGTAGATAAAGGAGAGGCAGATCTCACTGATGTACTGAGAGGGAATATTATGAAGTGACAGAGACGAAGTTATAGAGCTATCCCATGCCTCACAGGGGTATTAAGTTCCCCTCCTTCTTTCTCTAAATACCTTGCCAACTCTCCCATTGTCACCATAAAACATTTTGAAGATCTTTGTTCTACTTCTCCAGTGTTTCTGTGTCCTTTAAAGTCTTCTACCAAGGTTTCTTCTCCACTCCTCTGAACTGATTGGCCGGTTGGGTTGCAGCCAAGTGGTAGAGGGTGGAGATGTATGCCGTCCTGGCAGTGCGTGTGTGTGTGTTCAGGAGGATCGGTTTCCTACATGCCGTCATCATGTGCCATTTGATAGGAGCTGTGATTGGTCATTCGAGACACATTTAGCTGTGGTGATCTTTCAAACACAAACTCGGGCGCGTCCCAGGAAAGGAGTGGAACTCCCTTGATTGTTTAGTTGCCCTTTCATAATTTTCTAATCTTAAGAAAGTGAAAGGAGGAGAGTGGCAGGGCAGGTGGGAGGAGGAGGGGAAGTGTAAGGCCAATCAAAGAAATGAAGGAAGGAAAGTCATAAGTGGGTGAGGGTCTAATCAAAGCAACATTTACTGTACTTGTGTTGAGTGCCTTGCATCAAAACCACTCATGCACGAAACTACAGCACAGAACAAAAGACTATCCTAATGGCCCTTTCAGATACATAGCAATGTGTGCTGCGCTGGCTGCTGGGTTCAGAGCAAAATAGGCAGAGTTTCAAAATGTCTAGCGGACTACACATCTAGTCATTTGTTTGTTGTTCCAGCTTTCGGTGAGCAACAAATATGTATCTGTCCCCTGCTCAGAAGTAAGTGCAGCGCACCACATTAGGGCTGAAACGATTCATCGATTAAACCGATAACTAAAAAGCAAACAAAGAAAACAACAACTCTGTAATGTTACAGTCCGTCCACCGTAAAACGAAACTTATGTGGCCTACCGCAACAGCACGACGGCACCTGATCAGAAAGCACCCGGTCTATCATCCACGGAGTGGACAAGGTAACAGTAACAGCCAGTTTAGCATTTAACGATACACACGCGTTTGTTGTTCTCCGCCTGGTTGGTGTTGTAACACAGTCATGAGTTAACTTACACAGCTGATCCCGTTACCGGAGGGGGGGTGCCGCCGCTGTCGCCAAGCAAAAGTACTTCTTAAACGATGAATCGATGAAATAATCTGTACAAGCTCCGAGTACCAAAATCATTGTTAGCTGCAGCCCTACACCACATGGAAAGGCACAAGTGCATTTATAATATTGCATTTCCAATAATAACGGAGCTTCCTTTCAACGAAGGGAGGAAGGTCATTTTTACACTTTGGTTTTTGTACCGATTAAACAAACAAGTTGTGTTAATTAGTGAGCTCTAGAGGTGTCGGTCGGCAGATTGTGATACCGTTAGAGAGAACAAGGCTGTCTGTGTCCCTCACTATTTGTTACAGCTCAGATCAGTGCTTCTGTGCTTGATAGCAGGAACAAATTGAATCTAAAACATCAACAGTAATGTTGTTGGTATCGCTTCCTTGGAACCAAAAGGGGAGGATGAGCTCTGTCTAGACTGAACAGACCAGACTGCATTGCTGTAGCACATGCTTTGTTTCCTCAACTAGAAACTACCTGCACATGTAATCCACAGCTGAGTGCAACAAGTTCACAGCATTCACCAGAATCGGTAAGGTATTCTGGGGTATGTAGGCAATCTAACTGAGGCAGAAGCACATGAGTCAGGCTGAGGGAAAGTTCTTCAGTCCACCAGAAACGGTAAATTAAAGTAAATGGTAGCTCTTTATCACAACATGATTACTGGAAAACTCTCACCCAGACACATTTGATACAATAATGAGCGTGCAGCTGAGTCTGATAAATGGAGTGAGCCATGTTTGGGCTTAACACTGAGATGAATGGAGCACTACAGCTCCCATGACTAGCTAAATATTACACACTGAAACACAGATATACACACTCGCTAACTGAGCAGAAGGCCGGAATATGTTAGGAATGCGCTCTCGGAGATGATCGACCTTCACACGTACACGGGCACCACGTTGTGCGCTCAGATACACAACTATGTACAAAAACACACACGTTTAGCTTCACATTCACACGCTTTTCTGATCACATGCTGACGTGTTTGTGCTCGTCCGCAGTGAAGATTTGCTGGTGAAAAATTGCTCACGTTTTGTGTCACATGCGTCCAATGTGCGCTGACTTACAAGCCTTTCCCACACACACACATGCACACACCTACACCCTGTCTTGCTCAACAGGTCATATTGCTGCAACTGTGTGTGTTTTACATTACTAGCCAGTGAGAAAATGTTAACTGTCAAGGACACACACACACAGGCGGCAGACAAAGTTGTAGTCTCATTACTGTGGTCTCCGAGGAGTTACCATGGCAATGGCGAAATGAAACCATGGCCTGTGGGAGAAGAGGTGTGTGTGTGTGCATATGTCTATATGCGTGTCCTGCAGACCCAAAAGCGGTTTATTCCCCCAGGAAGTAAGTTATTCTCCCCAAGCCGATCAGAGGACAAAGTTTGAGACAGAGTTTAATCCAACTGGTCCAATACTTCTGACCTTTTTATTGCACGGGGCCATTCCCAGGAGAGTTGACAGTCAGCAGGGCGATTACATCACACATACAGTCAAGTAGCGAAAGAAGGAATGGGGAGGATATGAATTTCAATACTTAATCCAAGGATAGTGACTTATGAGTTTGTCTTTTGTTGTTATTAAATCTGGATAGATCATGAATAAAACCAGGGCAAGGAGACAAACTTTCACAGATTCAGACAAAGACTAATAGGAAGAGAGGCATAAATATTTGAGTTTTTTTTAGTTCATTAACGAAACATCTTAGGATGGATGAGATCCTTTGCCATGGCAAAACCGCACAGAGATGGGGAGAAAGAATATCGGGAATGAGCGTAGGGCTAAACAAATATTTACAGTGCCTCCTCCTCTGTTTATGACCACACTTTGCTCCTCTAGTTCATCCCTCCCATTTTCATCTCTTGCTTCGTCCACAGACCACACTATCCTCGCTTGCTGTAATGTAGTACAACTCTTTCTGTGTATGTTTTGCTTCTTTGCATGTGTGGGCATGTTTACATGTGTGTTTTTGTGTCACAGAATCAGCCATGCAAATCTATAAGTCTTTGATATCCTTGAGTTTGTGTGTGTGTCTGTGCGGAGTCTCTCTGTTTTCCACTGTCTCACACCAACACACAGGGTTCATATGTCAGTGGTTGTGTTTTATGTCTAGAGAAGCAATGGAGTCTGATGAAAGAAAGATAAAAATGGATTTAATGGAAGGAGGAGAAAGCCTAGACAGAGCGTACGCTTTTAGCCTGAGGAATTAATTTCTACACAGGCCTCTATTCAAGATTTTCTTCTTCCTCCCATCCATCCAAAAACGCTTTTTTTCCATCAGCATATCTGCTTGCTGTTTCTTACATAAATTGCAAATAGCAGACAATGTGTATAAATCTGGAGTGCCATGCCACCATGGGGCGTTAACATACTTGCTTAGTGTGTTAGCATTCTAACATTTGCTAAACACAAAGATGGTAATGTCAATTGTTTTGGATTTATTTGGTCAAATTGTCAACTAATAATGACGAAATATTGAAAAGTAGAGGTTCACCAAAGTGACGACAGTTTGTCCTCAAGGGGTTATTGACATATTTCAGTCTGGATCAAAGTGGTGGACTGACCATTTGATCGTTTAACATTGCAACACCTAGAACAACACTAACATGGCAAAAATAAATAAATGAATGAAAATGAACCACTGTTGGCCCATCAAGTGATTGACTGGTATCTGTCTGTCTTTCAGGAGGTGGAGCTTCTGGACATGAGCACCATCAGGGACACCAGAACAGGAAAGTACGCCAAACAACCAAAGGTTGGTAATTTGTGTGTGCGTGCGTGCGTGCGTGCGCGTGCGTGTGTGTGTGTGTGTGTGTGTGTGTGTGAGAAAGAGAGAGTGAAAGAGAAAGAAGCTGTAACACCCTGCTGTTGATAATTTGTCATCTAACTAGACGTGTGATGCTCAAGTTTGGTTGTCATCAAAAGGTGTGTGTGTGTGTGTGTGTGTGTGTCCACTGTATGTGTGTGTTTCCTCTCTCAGCTGATGGTGTAACAGTGTCAGAGTCCTAATGAGCCTGCTCACAGATGGACTGTCAGACAGGAAGTGATATAACCTGTGACTGTTGGCGAGGAAGTCATTGTGTAAGGGCGTAGGTCTGGCAGACGCAAAGCCACGTATTAGTGGTGAACACTTCAAATAATGGATGTGCGGACTTGCAGATTTGTGGATCAAATTATTCAGCTTAGTCCACTCATTCATCATTTAGTGGACTTGAATTTCCTTTATGTATGATAAAGTGCTGGGATCCTAAACTGTATCTTAACATTTGATTTTTAAATATGTTGATTCAGCTGTAACCTGACAGGACTGTTGGCAGCAACTGAAGATGAAAATATGGATTCGACATAGCTTCCTCATAGACATAGTTATGATTATAAAGTAATAAAGATTTTTGTGATCTGCAGCTGAAAATGTTACTAGGTTTAAACTGACTGTTCACACATTTTATATTTAAAAATCTTGCTCAACGGCATTTAATGAAAAACTGTAGCTAATATTCAAAAACTCATTTTTAAACCAGTTTTAGAATCTTAAAGTCGTTTCAGCTGCACCACAAATCATCCTCACTCAGAAAAATTCATTTCAAACACGATTGCTATGATAGGAATACCTATAATTGATCATTGATCAGTGTCTTGTCTAATGCCTACAGATTTGTTCATTTAAACAGTGATTCCTGCAGCAATGTAGCCTATGCTAAATGTTTCATTGCTGGGGAACTGTTGACAAAGCTGACAGCTGCCTTAATGGCTACAGAGTCAGTGTTATAAAGAAGGACAGTGTAGCCTATAAGCCCAGATTTTATTCTGAGCTGAGGGTGAGTCCACGATGTCCAGAGATGGCTTGCTTTATCTGATCATGTTTGGGTACCACACTAATATCTAACCAGGATTTTGATGTTTCTAAAGACTTAAACTTCTGCAAATGAATGTGTGTGTGTCAGACAGCTGCTCCAGCCTCAGCAGGAGGGGAGGAGACAGACAGAAACTCAGTGTTGAAGAACACCTGGTTCACGAGAGTTTAAGTTACCTCTTAGCCTGGAACAGAAAACCCAGTGTTTCCCTCATCTCAGTCTTAACAAACTCAGAATTTTCACAAACCCACTCCGAAACAGGGCCCAGGAATATTGTCTAGTCGTGTGACATTTAATTTAGAAAGTGTTGTGTAAAAAGTGAATTTTATGACAGATTGTGTTCTAAGGAAAAGTGCTTTTAAGACTGCTGAGTTACGTCAAAATGTGGTGTTCATCATAATTCATCAGTGTAGTTTAAATGCTTAAAGGGCCGGTTCACCCACACTCCAAAAATCTTCTCACCTATCACTAATGGTTTGGTTCTCTCAGATTTCTGCCTCCACCCCTAATACAACTGTGTCTGTGGTGCTTACACCATATTACCGCAAGCTGCTATAATCAATATTTTATGGCAAAGGAATCCATTTTAAAGCTGTTACAATTTGATTACGTTATTATATTCACAAATGACTATGTGCAACGTAAAAAGGGTCACTCGTAGCATTTTAGTGTCTTTAACTCCTCGTTTTTTGATATGTAGTATCTTTAAAAAGTGAGTACACCCCTCACATTGTTGTAAATATTTTATTATATGTTTTCATGTGACAACACTGAAGAAATGACACTTTGCAGCAATGTAAAGTAGTGAGTGTACAGCTCAGAATAAGACATCACACAGCCATTAATGTCTAAACTGCTGGCAACAAAAGTGAGTACACACCTAAGTGCAAATGTCCAAATTGGGCCCAATTAGCCATTTTCCCTGCCCGGTGTCATGTGACTCGTTGGTGTTACAAGGTCTCAGCTCACATCAGTCATTTCTTCAGTGTTGTCACATGAAAAGATATAATCAAATATTTAAAAAAATGTGAAGGGTGTTCTCACTTTTGTGAGATACTGTATATCCTGCAACTCTCATCAGTGTTGTTTACTGCCACACAAGGCAGCTGTTGTCAGCATTAGAAGGCTCGGATAACCCCACGCTACCTTCCCAGCACCAAACAGCAGACAGATAGCGTTAGTGAATAGCTGTTGAACAAATTGCAGCCTGTAGCAGCTAAAGAGTGAGATATTTCCCTCAGGAGTTGATAGAGATTAGACCACAGCTAAAAGGAGAGTGAATATTAGATTTACATTCATCAGGTGGACACAAACACGACTCCAAATGAATGCTAATGTTACTCCGTATCAGCTGGATGTGTACAACTGTTTGTTAATTCACCATATCATCCAAGATGATAATATATTGATGTTGTATTTACAGCTTGTCGGACAAAAAGTCTGTTAATACAGGTTTAAAATGTTCAACAGCATTTATATACAGAAGCAGTGTTCCTGTTGCTCTGGAAAATTCACAGAACACACTGTCAACAGTTTTACAAGAACTATTTCTTTGGTAGAAAGTAGGTCCAAAGAAAACTGTTAGTAGTGAGGTCTGTGGATTATCTTAAGAAATGTGGAAAAGACAGGTTGTTGTTGATTTATTCTTTATTTTTATTTTTTTCCCCTACTTTGGGTGAACTGATCCTTTAAATGCTCGCTTGCTGCTTAATGTCAATTTACATTTTGCGCACTGCTTTGGCAGTACTTTCTTGATAAACAGTCCCCCAAGGTAATTTATTTAGTTGAAATGAAAGAGAGACGCAATAGAGACAGAGTGATGGAGAGAATGCATAATTGATAGAGAGACACTGAGTGTTAGAGAGAGTTGGTGGTAGAGAAAGAGTGGTCTAAAAAGGAGGAATGAGTCGTTTGGTTAATTAGATCAGAGTGCTACACCACATGCATCACATTTACTGTTCTCAGGAGACAGAGAGATGGACAAGGAGCGGGAAGGATGCAGAGTTCGTGTGCGCAAGCCAAACCAGTGTTAATGGGTCAATATATTGCATGTGTCAAGTTCACTGTCAATGTAATGAAACGTCCTTAATAATACATGAGTATAAAATTGTGTGTGTGTGTGTGTGTGTATGTCAGGACGGGAAGCTGCGGGACGTGCTGGGCATTGGTAAGGCTGACCACGTTGAAGGGAAGCTAATAACCATCGTCTATGGCAATGACCTCGTCAACATCTCCTTCCTCAACTTCCAGGCTATGCATGAAGATGCAGCCAAGGTAATCATCCACCACCACGACCCCATAATCTTCTCACATTACATATACCTGCATGAAATATTTCTTCCTTCCTTCCTTTCATCTCTTCTGCCTTCCTTCCTCCTTATCCCCCCTTTCTTTCTTCAGGCCATATGCTGATTACTCACTTTACGATGTTAACATAGCGGCATGTGCATGGACATGTTTAGGAGTTGTACAGAGGGATTATTTCCTGTGTGTGTGTGTGTGTGTGTGTGTGTGTGTGTGTGTGTATTGTATATACAAGCTGTTTCACTTAGTTTTAACATCAGACGAACAGTCAAACAACCCTGTTTTATCAACTCATTCTTTTCTGCGTGTGTGTTTTCCAGATTTGGACGGATGAGCTGTTCGCTTTGGCCACAAACAGACTTTCCCAGAATGCATCGCGGAACACTTTCCTCCTCAAAGCGTAAGAAGTTGTGTGTGTCTTATCTTGACAATTGTAGATTTTAGATATTTATTTTGAAAAGTCTCTCTCTCTGTTTCAGGTACACTAGGTTAAAGTTGCAGGTTAATCAAGATGGGAAGATTCCTGTAAAGAAGTGAGAAACGCACACATCAACCACTTTTTAAACTCCACACAGAATTTTAGACGACAGTGCCCTCCACTTCTTCTTTCCTTTCCTCTTATGTGTCTCTCTTCCACTTTCTATTTTGTCTGTGCATTAGTTCATATCTAGTTTATCTCCACTCACTGCTGATGTTTGACCCTTTTTTCCTCCGCACTGTTACTCATCTAAATCAAATCCTTCATGACTTTCAACATGATTACATTTTTATTTTGAGAACAATAAACTTTGAACAGTGAATGGTTAGACTCAGTCATGATAACGATTTGAACAGTGACTGTTATCTCTCTGTCTTTCAGTATTCTCAAGATGTTTTCAGATAAAAAGAGGGTGGAGATGGCTCTGGAGAAATGTGGCCTCCTCAATAACAGGGTAACCATCAAAAGCAATCCCTGACCACACTACTGAAGATATGTGATTCTATTGTATTGGTTGATACATGATAATAGTTGCAACTCAGTCTCCCACACCGGAATATTAAATATTCTACTTAAAAAGTTTGGAGTAACAGGATTTTTCCTAGTAAATGTGACTTCCTTGTAAGAGCAGCTGTTAAAATACAAAAAAAATCATGGCTTCATTCATTCTTTAAAAAGTCTGATGAAAATATCAGTCATGTGCTTTTTATGTATTGTTTTGCCAAAATGTTTGCTTGTGTTGGCAGTGTGTGGTAGGTAAAACAAGATTTCTTGTGTGTTTATTTTTAGTCAGTGCAATCTTTCCTAAAAATCAGTCTGGAGTCACAAGACGTTTATTTTTGAATAAGAACCAAATTGTGCAAACTGTCCTGTCAGCATTTCTCTTTGTATTGTTGTGCTCTGGTGCCTCCTGCAGGTAAAATAGAAGAACACACAGTGCGGAAAATGGGAGTAGGGAAAATACTGAGGAGTATCTGTGTCATGAATGTAATTTGGTGCTTTAGAAAGCATATTTATGTTCAGTCTACAGAATTTACAATACTCAATAGTTTAGTACAAGTATGTCTTAGCTTGTAGCTGGAGGCAGAGACTGTCACTGACTGGTTGTTTCAAAGTGTCTCTGAAACAACCAGGCCTCCTTCTACACAATCTTCTCCATTCTGTTTCAGTCTGAGGGACTCAAGCCAGATGATTTCACGTGGGAGGCCTTCCAAAAGTTTCTTGACAGCCTCTGTCTGCGGCCTGAGATACAAAGCATCTTTGAGGAAAGGTATGTGACACATAAATAACACTTTCACAAACATATGCAGTTATTTTTCCATTATGTTAAATTCCTTCCCCCACCCTGAATCCTGTCGCAATGATGATCTAGTGATATTTTTAGGATTCCTAGTAACAACCTCGCTCGCTTCCTAGCTCACAACCTGTACCTCAGTTTTCATACACACACTGTTTTCAGTGCACTTTTCTCTTTGCTCCAGTGGTTCCAAGAGGAAGCCATTCATCTCTTTGGACCAGTTGATGGAGTTCATCAACCGCAGGCAGCGAGACTCCAGGCTGAACGAGGTGCTTTACCCCCCGCTGAAAAGGGAGCAGGTCCGACAGATCATGGAGAAATATGAGACCAACACCAGCCAACTGGAGAGAGGTTAGTAACTTTGAGTGTGATTTGCTTACCGTTAGTTTTATGTTCCTGTTTACATTTCAGGCATTTAGATGCTTATATGCAGAGCCGCTTAAAATCATTTTTGAGCTCTTTTGATCAAAATAATGCAGTGAACCATTCCAGCGGATATAAATCAGCTCTGGTTCTTTTGCCTTTAATATGTTCCCACGAAGATCATCCAATGAAGTGACCAGGGTACACTGACTTTTTTAAGCTGCAAAATCAAATAACCGCACAAAAAAAGATTCAAGATGGGAGCTGAAGAGTTCAGAGTATGTGCAGCTGTATCTTATTGTAGATAGTGTCTTTTTGTCCCAAAGCAAAGTTTATCAGCTGCAGCAGTACTCAGATAATTGCAAGATTATAGTTATGATTGATATCCTCGACTTAATGTGCGGCACGGTTGTCCTCCGATCCATTTCAAGTGTGTAAAACATTCACAATGTGGGAATCATTCACAGCTTTGGTAAAATGTCCTCCATGTTTTGCTGGGGTAATCTTTGAATAAACTGTACAAAACTGGGGAATGAAAGCAGGGCCTTGGCTACCATGAGTGGCTCTGCTAGGACACTGTTAAGCCAAAACCTGTAAGATGATCCACTATCCAGCCCACAGTGTTCAGCACTCATTGAGAGCTCTCTCTAGCCTGTTGATGTCTGTCCTTAAACGTGAGCCTTATGCCCTATTGAGTCAGTTTACTGTTAGAGCAGATGATGTCAATTTAGTATAGCATCTTCCAGTCCTTGCCCTTTAAATCAGATCAATTGTTCTGATGCTGACAGATGCTGGTCAATTTAAACTGACAAAACAACAAAACAAGTCTGACTATTTTATAGTCTATAAACACAGTCAACTTCTCTCTCTCTCCCTCTCCCTCTCCCTCTCCCTCTCCCTCTCCCTCTCCCTCCTGCAGACCAGATCAGTTTGCAGGCTTTCAGTCGGTATCTGGGAGGAGAGGAAAACAGCCTCATACCTCCAGAGAGGCTGGATATCATTGACGATATGAACCAACCGCTGTCTCACTACTTTATCAACTCCTCACACAACACATACCTCACAGGTAAACAAGAAAAATGTACCGGTTTAGTGCTTCCTTTTAATATTTAGCATTATAGTAAATCTTTTGGACCCGAAACCATCTTTCCCTCCCCTTTGTTCGTGTGCCTGCAGTGGGTCAGCTGACCGGTCTGTCGTCAGTGGAGATGTACAGGCAGGTGCTGCTGACTGGCTGTCGCTGTGTAGAGCTGGACTGCTGGAAGGGCCGGCCGCAAGACGAGGAGCCTTACATCACCCACGGCTTCACTATGACCACTGAGATCCCCTTTAAGGTGGCTGCCACTGCTTTTTGGTGTTCACTTTGTTATTTTGTTGTGCATTCTATTACCCAGGATTATTCCCTTTAAGGTTTTATCTCTATCTTTTATCTTTTAATTATGACACCTTGGTTAGGTTGAGTTTGTGTAAGTTATTGCTCTCATTTATAATTTACTGTGCAACATTTTTACAAGGGTATGAAATGTTCACTGGAGTTTTGTCCTCACATAAATGTCTGTTTTTCCTCTCTATATATGACTGAGACTATATAAAAGTCATTTACATCTGCACAGAAAAGTACTGTATTTTTATTTTTATTTTTATGGAGGCATTAAGTTTAACAGGCCTACTTTGTAGGTTTACTTGATAGTTTATTGAATTTTACGTACATGTTATAAAGCCCTGGCAAGCTGAGACGCTATTTCGCCTCTTCCTGCAGTTACAAAATATGTTTAATGTTTATTTTACCATGTGCTTGCAGATTTAATTCAGTGGAGCTTCTTTTAATATTCTCATTCTTTCCCTGACTGTAGGAGGTGATCGAGGCGATAGCAGAGAGTGCTTTCAAGGCCTCGCCATACCCCCTCATCCTGTCATTTGAAAACCACGTAGATTCGTAAGTCATGACGGTCTGTATGAGTGTGGTTGTCAGCACGTGTAGTCACATCATCTACTCTCAGGCTCCATGAATTTTGGTTCATTGATCAAGTCTTTTTTTCAGTTTGCACTTTAGTCTGATGTCTTTATAACAAGACCAGGTGCCAACGTTATTTGTAAATATTTGCTCAAACATGTCTAAACTGATGGTTGAAGGCACGTTGGGTTTTAAGTCTAGGGTCCTGTCCCATTGCGGCAGATTAAAGTAAACCAGAAACTAACACGTGTCTCTTGCTCTGTCAGGGCCAAGCAGCAGGCCAAAATGGCAGAGTACTGCAGGACCATCTTTGGAGATGCCCTGCTCATTGATCCACTGGAGAAATATCCGGTAAGATCCGACATGAATTTTACCAATTTGATGTACATAACTTTAAAAATAAAGATATGATAGATATATATATATATATATATATATATATATATATATATATATATATATATATATATATATATATATATATATATATATATATATATATATATATATATATATATATATATATATATATATATATATATATAGATCGAGATATATATAATATATAAATACTATATCCTTTAAAACTTATAATACTATTTTAAGACCAGTATTTAGTTTGACATAAATGCATTATGAGTGATGTCTCACTGCTGTACCTCTAGGCAAATTAACAACACAGTAATATCTTTTTACTCTACAGTCACAGTGTTAATCAGCTTGTAAACCATCAAGTCTGATCAAACAGCTTCAATATGCACATCTGCTCATGATCTTGATCATTTTGTACCAAAACACAACTCAGGATGCACTGCTTTTGACCTCATAAACCTCTCTGTATTCACAACTGTGGCCTAAAAGTAGTCCACTAATAAACATTTGTTTTCAACCAGTTTCTTCCAGTGTATACACCCAGTTCTTAAAAGGGAAAAAAAAAAGTCCTGTCCTGTCAAAGGTTATCTATTCACACCCCCTGGTTTATATTAAAATGTCAGCTAATCTATCAGTGAGTCTTATTATATTATAATAGCTGCCTTATTCTGTTCTTTTTTCAAAAAGAAGGTTATTGAGCTCGCCATTGTGTCTTTCATGTGGCTTTAGCTGGAGCCGGGTCAGCCGCTGCCCTCACCGCAGGAGCTGCTGGGGAAGATTCTGATTAAAAACAAGAAGAAGCACCAACACCACCGACCCTCCAGCGGTGGCAGCATACGACGCAGAGAGCTGGGGGAGCAGTCGTCACCCAACAACGGTAAGTGCAGACACTACATCTCTTGCAGTGGCATGCAGGTCTGAGAATCTGTAGGTTTGGCTTGTATTATACAGCACTATAGCAGCTGATTTCATGCCTATGTTCATCTCGTCTGGTTGTAATGATGAAATGAAACCAGCTTCCAGTGTTTGGAGGTATGCATATCTGTATAGTCTTGGGCCAAGATGGCACATGGCAGCTACATCAGGAGCCCTGCTACACATACATGTGCAAAAACAATAAGATTTCAAGATACTAAATTAAAGCTGATCATTTTGTGTCGTCTGTGTAGACAGTCCTTTGGGTGAAAGTGAGGGAAGTCAGCTCCTGTCCAACGGGGAGGAGAAGGTGGCGGAGGGGATGGTCAAAGACTTGGAGCCTCGCAAGTCCTTAGGTGGGTTGAAAAAGAATGGAAGGAATGATGAGAACTGGTGCCAGCGTGGTGTACATTTTGTTTTTATTGCATCCTACCAGGAGGTGAAGGAGAGAGTGAGGAAGAGGAAGAGGACGAGCCGGTGACGGAGCTGAAAAAGCCGAACTCTGATGAGGTAAGAGCCACCAGCAACTAACAGGTGTGTCTGACTGGCTGATGGGCTGATTGATGGATTAGTGGTATCTGCCTCCCTCAGGGTACAGCCAGCAGTGAGGTGAACGCCACAGAGGAGATGTCGACTCTCGTTAACTACATCGAACCTGTCAAATTCAAGAGTTTTGAGGTGGCAAACAGTAAGTGTGTGTGTGATAAAGAGAGAGATAGGAAGATGCTGTGACTTGGGCAGCAAAGATATTAAGTGAAAGTAAAAGAGTCTGTGTGTGTGTGTGTGTGTGTGTGTGTGTGTGTGTGTGTGTGTGTGTGTGTGTGAGAGAGAGAGGGATGGTCAAGCCCCGTTAGTTCTAAGCACTTCTCCTATGTAGCTCATTAGGGAGAGAGGCCAGCTGCGTGGACTCATTAGTGGTTAATGATCAGTCTTGTCAAACAGACCTTTAGCACATAGATTATCTTAATAAATTCCTGTACCCATGTCAATTTTGTCTATTGTACTATTCTCTTATGTCACTCGCTGTCTGCCCATCAGAGAGGAGGAAGTTCTTTGAGATGTCGTCATTCGTGGAAACGAAAGGCATGGACACCCTGAAGAGCTCCCCCATCGAGTTTGTTGAGTATCCTTGGGAGCCCATCAGCCCTTGAAAACCTGAGCTTCTTTTAGACAGTGTTTTTGCGTTTGTGTGTGCATAATCTTTAGTGTGTTCAAATGCCTTTTTGTGTGTCATCATGGGGATGGAAAGTAGTGCCTGAGGAACAGCCTTAAAAGAAACATTGCCTACATTGTGACTTTTGACCTTAAAACACATAATAAATTATGTTTGCATTTTATCTGTTGTAATTTATAAGACGTAGCAAATGCAGTTGGTGCAAATATATTCCACATATGCAGTGTTTGGTTCTTAACAGCAGTCCCCAAGGTACAATAAGAATCAGCTGAGCCGAATCTACCCTAAAGGAACAAGGGTGGACAGCTCCAATTACATGCCTCACCTTTTCTGGAATGTCGGCTGCCAGATGGTGGCGCTAAACTTCCAGACCCTCGGTACGTCCTGTTATTACAGCCACAGATGGCCTCACTTGGGCATGAAAGCAAGATATATCAAGTACAAGTATCCACACAAACTTTATTACACTTAGAGTCACAGGAAAAAGTATGTGAACCCTTAGGGATTTTCTGGACTTCTGCATAAATTGGTCATAAAATGTGATCTGATTTTCATCTAAGTCACAACAATAGACAGAGTCTGCTTAAACAAATACCACACAAACATTTATATGTTTTTATTAAACATACCGTGTAAATATTCACAGCTGATGACTTCTCCAAAAGCTAATTGGAGTCAGGAGTCAGCCAGCCTGGAGTCCAGTCAATGAGATGAGATTGAAGGTGTTGGGTAGAGCTGCCCTGCCCCATTAAAAAGAACATACACCACTTTTAATTTTGCTATCATGAATAATTGCTTGAAGTTAACCATGCCTAGAAGAATTGAATCTGGAAAGGGTTACGAAAGTATCTCTAAAACCCTTGATCAGTCCATGGAAAGACAAATGTCTATAAATGGAGAAGGTTCACCACTGGTGCTGCTCTTCCTAGGAGTGGCCTTCCTGCAAAGATGACTGCACAAACATAGAATGCTCAATGAGGTTAAGAAGAGACCTAGGATGTCAGCTGAAGACTTACAGAAATCTCTGGAACATGTTATCATCTCTGGTGACAACTCTACGATACGTAAAACACCAAACAAGAATGGAGTTCATGGGAGGACACCACAGAGGAAGCCACTGCTGTCCAAAAAAACCCAGCTGCACTAGTGGCAAAATCATTTGTGGAAAGTTGAGTTGTTTGGAAGGAACACACAACTCTATATGTGGAGGAAAAATGGCAGAGCACACCAACATCAAAACCTCATCCTAACTGTGAAGTATAGTGGAGGGGGAATCATGGTTCGGGGCTGCCTCAGGGCCTGGAAGGGTTGCTATCAGCGACGGAAAAATTTATTCCAAAGTTTATTATCTATTCTTATTATCTTATTATTAATTTTGCAGAAGAATTTAAGGCCATTTGTCCGCCAATTTAAGCTCAACAGAAGATGGGACCCAAAGCACAGAAGTAAATCAACAACAAAATTAGAAAGAAAATACACCTTCTGGAGTGGCCCATTCTGAGTCCTGACCTCAACCTGATTGAGATGCTGTGGCATGACCTCAAGAGAGTGATTCTTACCAGACATCCAAAGGATATTGCTGAACTTAAACAGTTTTGTAAAGAGGAATGGTCCAAAATTTCTCCTGACCGTTGTTCAGGTCTGATCAGCAACTACAGGAAACGGTTGAGGTTATTGCTGCCAAAGGATGGTCAACCAGTTATTAAATCCAAATGTTTACTGTGAATGTTTACAAGGCGTATTCAATAAAAACATGGAAACGTATAAATGTTTGTGCGGTATTAGTTAAAGCAGACTGTGTTTGTCTGTTGTTGGATGAAAATCAGATCACAATTTATGCAGAAATCCAGGTAATTCCAAAGGGGTCACATACTTTTTCCTGTGACTTTAAAATAAACAATTAAAGGGTTTAAGAAGTATAAATTGTGCACATTTACCAGATGGATATCTTTGGAACTTGTAATTATTATTCTTGTACAACACTCATTTTACTGTTGCCTATATTTTCAACTGCTTATTTAAAATATTAAAAGTATCACATACTATGTAAAATTATAAAATATTGTTTTCACAATTGCATTTAAATTAAGTATTTGATTTATCTCCAAGAAACATAAATAAGGTATTTAAAAATGAAAATATTTGCATTCTGTAGCCGGACACAGGGAAGTCAAGTTAAAGCATCTCAGTCTTCATCCCTCTAAATCCCTCCCTTTCTGTGTTTTCTTGCTCATTGTCATCCCTCCTTCCCCCTTCCCATCTTCATCTCTCCATTCCTCTCTACCAGACCTCCCTATGCAGCTGAACATGGGTGTGTTTGAGTACAACGGCAGTTGCGGCTACCTGCTGAAACCTGAGTTCATGAGAAGGACGGACAAACACTTTGACCCTTTTACAGAAAACATAGTGGATGGGATAGTCGCCAATACTGTCAAAATTAGGGTAAGGACAACACATGTTGTTATTTGGACATTCAATTTCTTTGTAAGTTGTTTTGATAAACATGAGTGATTAAACATCCACCAGGTGATCTCAGGCCAGTTCCTGACTGACAAAAAGGTGGGCGTGTACGTTGAAGTGGACATATTTGGACTTCCTGCTGATACAAAGAGGAAGTATAGAACCAAAACATCTAATGGGAACTCGCTGGACCCCGTGTGGGATGATGAAATGTTTGTGTTTAATAAGGTAACTCATGCACACGCACCAGGATTCAGTCTTACTCTCACCTATCTAGTGTCTGCCATTTGTTAACCCTTACATGCTCTCTGACATCAACACCCCTCACTCCAGTTGGTCCTCCCTACATTGGCCTCTCTGAGGATAGCGGTGTTTGAAGAGAACGGCAAGTTTATTGGACACCGGATCCTCCCTGTGTCGGCCATTAGACCTGGTCAGTACTCACACATAAACGCACTCTCGTACTGTCAAACATTTAACCAAAGGCCTCCACTTATTTAGTGTTTGTCTGCATATAGTGAAAACATCATTCATTTACATGCTGCTGTATCTTCTACTGTCCAGCACCAATGGACACTAGCCATTTATTTTTCTTTCTTCCCTTTTTCCTTTCTAGGCTACCACTACATAAACCTAAAGAATGAGTTAAACCAGCCCCTCCTCCTGCCCTCTCTGCTGGTTTACACTGAAGCTCAGGACTACATCCCTAATGAACACCAGGGTAAGAACACCACATCATCAAGTTAGGTAATAGTAGTTAGGTAATTTGGGAAATACCACTAGCTACCTATTTTAATTGTTTATCCATTAGTTTTAGCTAACTATTTAAAAAATGTATACATTACTTTTAGCTAACAATGTTGACTTCTCTGCTTGCTTGCTTGCTATCTAGTTTTAATTCACTTCACATAGGATTTTAAAGGAATTGTTTGACATTTTGTCAAATAGGCTTTTTCCCCTTTCTTGCCCAGAGTTGGATGAGAAGATTGATACCACCATTAAGTCTACAGTCAGAAGTCGGTTTAGCTTAAGAGAAAGACCGCTCTGTCCAAAGGCAACAAAATCTGTGTACCAGCATTTTTAAAGCTCACAAATTTAAATGTTGTATCTACTTTCTTTAATGTGTACATAATGCAAAAACATTGAGTTGCGAGACATAACAATTTAGTTAGTTGGCGTTGGTGGTGCTGCTTGGCGGATTTTGTTACTGTTGGACAGAGCCAGGTTCCGATTCAGGTTTCTACTGTTTATGCTATGCTAAGCTAACTGGTTGCTGGCGCCAATTTCATATTTAGCGTACAGACATGAGTGGTATCAATCTTCTCATCTAACTCTCATCATGAAAGCAAATAAACATATTTCCCAAAATGGCAAGACAACTTGAGACTTGAAAGCAAAATCATTTAATTTTAACCCAGTAAGTTCCAGAACGATTTTCATCGCCTTGGGTCTCAGGCTCTAAAGGAGAAATGTTCAAAAACCATGTCAGTAATGGCCAGCAGAAACCTGAAGGAGTCCCACACTGCAGATTCACTTAGTGATACTAAAGTCAGTGAAGTACCTCGACTTACGATTTGCTTGTAGTCTTGTTACTTACTATAAAATACTTCAGCGCTGGTCCCGAATATATGAACTTGTGGACATCCATGTCATTAAGGCACTCTTTATCTTGTTTTTGTGTGTCTGTGTGTGTGTATTTTTAGAGTATGCAGAGGCTCTGACTAACCCCATTAAGCACATCAGTCAGTTGCACAAGAGAGAGACACAGTTGGCTGTGCTCATAGAGGACAACAGTGAGGTAAGACACATCTGTGTGTTTAGTAATAAAAACCAACTAAAAAGACAAAAATCTTGTTACTTTGCAGCGCAGTCAGAACAATTCAATTAAAAGGGCTTTATTTCCATGAACGTTTCAAGAACAATGTTGCCAAATCATCAGACTACATCAGATTATTATATAAAAAAAAAAGACTATATCAATGGACTATATCATAGCATTAATATGAACATTAATACAACATTAAGAATGATCATCTGATAATCTAATCTAAAGTTTACAGATTGTGAACTCTCAATCAACTTTCCAATTCATCTTTCTCTTGCTTTGTCCAGCATGTCCCCAACCAGCCCAAAGAGGGAGAGACCAAAGAGAGTGAAGTTGTTCCGGGACTCCCTTCCCCCTTCCATGCCCTCCCCCCCTGCTCAATGGATGAAGCGCCTGAAGTCATCAAATTACCTGCACCTGGTAGAGACAGCCATAAACAATACATACACAGCCACAAATGTTGTTTTAATGTCTACATGTGACACGTGTAAATACCCACACCATTAAATTTATCTGCACTTGAAATCCTAAATGAATATATAATCAGACGCTTTCAAGCCACTAGAGGCACCATTTAGTCTACTTTCTGAACATTTCCCAGTAATAAGCTCTGGTACAAACAGCCATGAGTAATCTGCCAGAAAATAAGAAAATAAAAAAATTACTGTCGCGAAATTAATTAACTTTTTACATGAATGGATGTTATGCTAATTTAACGTACATTAGTTAGACATCACTTTCAAAGATGCATAAGATGCTAGGTATATTCCAATTGTCAAATGTAACCCGTATTGTTGTTCCATTGTATCAGCTTGCCTGCCTCCCATGTACAGTATTTTTGTATTAGCCTGCTATGAGGCGGTGTATTATATTCTAATGTAAGCTAATGTAATATGTCCATGAATGTGTCTTCACTGCACAAATATCCATAGTAATCTATTCACAAGATCTTTTCACTTGTCTGCAGGAAATTTCAATAAGTGAAACAAAATATTTTTTAACGTCTTGTGAAAATCATTTATCTCCCACGTTTCGTGATTCAAAGCTTTATGAAAGTGTCACTTTTTAAAAAAAGGGAAATTTTATGAGCTTACCCAATTTCATCCATTGTTCTTTTCAATACAAGGTTAACTTGTACAGTATGTTAAACTTACACTAAAGCCATGAATACTGTTCATTACATTGAGTTTTCTGCTGTTGTGCTTGGTTCATTTTCCCATCATCCATTTCACACATACTGTCTGTGTGCTTCTCTTCCTGCATTTCTTTGTGTGTGTGTGCGCATGTGTTTGTGTGTGTAGCACAAAGTCTGAAGGAAGACCTCATAGCCACTGTTCTGACAGGTAAGGTCATTCATTTCCCACAGAAACTAGTGAAAATCATTTTTGAGCTGTGTATAGGATATGTATTCATTTTTTTAAAGTTGGACAAGCCAGGAGTGGCTAGCTGTCAGCTTTATAATGTTAAATTACAATGGTGATTGGCCATAATTCTATGTCTCGATCTGTCTGTCAGACATCCAGGCCCAGTCTATAGAGGAGTTGAAGCAGCAGAAGAGCTATGTGAAGCTGCTAAAGAAACAGAAAAAAGAAATCAAAGAGATGCGCAAGAAACACCTTAAGAAGGTACACACAAAGATAGATGCCTAACAGAATGGAACCACTCATATTTCGATTCTTATGAATACATTATTCCAGCTGTACATAGAAACTGGATGATGAAAAGTCCACTACATTGGCACTAGAGGCTGAAAAATCATTTTGCCAGTGTGCTGCAAAAGAAATTGATTTCTGCTTGTGTGTGTGTGTGTGTGTGTGTGTGTTTTGTAGGTGTGGAATCTGAGTAAGGAGCAGAAGAGTCGGACCAGCCGGATTCAATCTGACACCCAGAGGAGACGTAGTCAGATGGAGAAACACCTCAAACGTAGCATCAAGAAAAAGTAAGGATTTATGTTGTGTAAAATGGGAGAATAGTGGGGAAAATCTCAAAGTACCAGTAAATGACAGAGGGGACCAGAGGTGGTCAAGATATAATAAAATATGGATAGATTGATTATATAAAGATAGATAGATAGTGGGGTAGGTGTGAAAGACTTGAGAAGAAGAATAAAAAACAGCCAGTGAAGGGAGTAAAAGTAAAGTTTATGGTAAACTTGCACTTATGGTTCAAGCTGATTAAACCTGACCTCCGTGGTGCATGTTTTTATGTGTATTTGTGTGTGTACTCTCAGTGAGTCCCAGGAGCCGGTGCAGAGTGAGCTGACGGCATTGGATCAGGAGATTGAGCAGCAGACGGTCCAGCTGAGGGAATGGCAGATGAAAGAACTCCTGGAGGTCCGACAGAAACTTCATTTACTGGAGAGAGAGAAGCAAAAAACACACTTACAAGAGGTAATCACACGTTGCACGCGCGGAATAACGCTGTACCACTCCTGTGAATTCTTAAATATACACACTTGTCCACAGAGCTCATAATTAGCTGATCTTTAAGAAACTCTGTGGCACTTCCGTACATCTGCATAGTCATTCGCTGACAGGTCGTCGTCTGTTGTGCTGTGTTTTTAGAACTTACAGAAGTTAAAGGAGACGGCCCAGGAATGCCAAGCAGCTCAGCTGAAGAAACTCAAGGACATGTGCGAGAAGTAAGTGCAGCTGTTCTTTCACCTTTCACGGCTCAATACAAAAAATATAATGTTGGGTCAAGACCCAGAAGTCACTGCCACAGTAACGCTCTGCTTTTAGTTATTATTATTGTATAATTAAGTCTTAGTTTTTTCCATAACATCATTGTGTTATATTGATTTTTAAAGTGGCTTTGTCATGTTATACACAATATGAGTTTGATTCCCGTGTGTTGGATTAACCACCAGCGTCTAGCTCTTTTTGTCTTTGTTCGGATGTAATTTTGTCTGTAATTGTGTCTGCAGGGAAAAGAAAGAGCTCCAGAAGATCCTGGACAGGAAGCGACAAAACAGCATCAGCGAAGCCAAGAGCCGTGACAAAGAGAAGGCTGAAATGTAAACTTTTTTAAACTTGTCTCTGTTATTTATAACTGGTATTAGAGATGTTAATTGGGCAATCAGACCTTTTTTTGACACTTTTTGCTCTTTTCCTCGCTCGTTCCATCTCTCTCTGTAGGGAACTGAATGAGATCAACAGGAAACATATTCAAGATTCGGTCACTTTAATCCGCAGGGCAAGTACCCACTCTAACACACACACACACACACACACACACACGCACGCACGCACGCGCACACACGCACACACACGCACACGCACGCACGCGCGCACACACACACACACACACACACACACACACACACACACACACTCTTATCAGTCCTTGAGAATGGCCCGTTACCTACTTTATAGTACATTTTTCTACCACTGTCATCAACTTTACCCCTCTCTCTCACATATTATCTTCTATTCCTACTGCCCCTGCATTCCTCCTTTTTCCCACCTGATACCACTCAAATCCTCCTACCATTATCCCTTTCCTTCCTTCCTTCCTTCTCTCCAAAATCTTATTCTTATTTCTTCGCACTCCAGCTGGAGGACGCTCAGACCAGGAGAAAAGAAAAGCTGATGCTGAAGCATCAGGAGGTGCTGCAACACATAGACAAGGAACTTCCTCAGGTGAGCAACACACTTTGAAGTGCTTTCATTTAACTAATTTAAGAGGAGAGGCAGTTTTGTTGAACTCAAGTCAAACCTGCAAAAGCTGTACCCTGCACTCTATCACAAAGAAACAACTAAATAGACAGCTGAAGTAACAGAGCCATATCAAGATAAGCTAGCTGGCGCGATAGCTGCGCTAGCCCTAGCTACAGCTAAACAAAAATGTACTTATTTATGTTAAAAATAATCTAAGCCTTAAAATGGGCTTTACAACCTGTTAAACAATTTCCAGCCAGCCTAAAAACTTTTTTCTTCTCAATTTCACCTCTTCTGTAGTTACTGTTGTCTGCTTTTATCGGGCAGAAGTGTTCTTGTATGTCTTAAAACTTCAGTGTTGCTCCAAAATAAGTAAAAAACCAAACAAAATCTCCAGAATGTGAAGTCTTGATGTTTTCACGGCAGCAGGTGAGCCGCCTGCTTGTTAATGACTCAGCCTGACAGCCGAAACCAACATCTGCACCCTGTGTTCAATGTTGCTTTAACGTTACCTGGTCTGTGCTTGTGAAATATCCACCGCGACTTGTAACGTCATTTCAAGTTTTTAACCGAGTGAAGTCTGTGCGAGTGAACACACGCACATCGTCCCAACCCTTCTGAACAGACTGTTTCTGCTGCTCACTGATAAAAGATACCTGATGCTGATACCTGTTCAAAAAAACAAGAAAATTGGACTCTGATGGTAACTTGTTTTAACAAGCTAGATAAAAGGTACTGCCCTGGCAGTAGCAAATAGCTTTGGTTTAATATTTGATTTGATTACATTAATGTTTAAGTTGAGATTATATTTTATTGCTACTGTGTAAAGGGAATACTGCTGGTAAAAAGCACCTTATTTGTTATTGCACTTTTATGTATATAGCAGTACATTTAAATTAAAATTGCACAATACACTACTTTAGAATTCATTATTCAAAGTAACAATGCGATTAATCGCAAGAAAATCATGCGATTAAAAATTTTAACTGTTGCCCAGCAGTAAAAAATACACATACCAACACCTCAAACACGTATCTTGTATGCTTAATTTCTGCACAAAAATGTAAAAATGATTATTTGTGGTTTTTGGTGTGTCTCCACTGGTTGCCTGACGATGTCTCATGGTGATGAAACAAAAAATTTGGTTATAGCAGTGAACTCCCCGTAAAACCACTAATTGTTTTTTTTACATGTCTGCTTGTGTATGAATTAAATTAACAAGATACAATACGTTACTTCATGCTTTACAGAGGTGTTTGTAGGTATCTTTTTAAAACTAATATAACTACTAGCTGTTGCCCCCTGCTTTCAGTCTTTATGCTAAGCTAAGCTAATCACCTCCTTATTATAGCTACATACATACACACAGACATGAGAGTGGTTATCAGTCTTTTCATATAATACTTGGCCAGAAAGCTCCCAAAATCTCAAACTATATTACTTGAACTAATACTTATTTATATATTATTTTCCTGGTGTTTCTTATCCAGCTCATGTCTCAGTTGGAGAGGGAACTGGAGGGGGAGTATCAGCGACTGCCGGAGGAAATCTGCCAGCACCTTCAGCTGGAGCTCCAGAACAAAGGTCTCGGAAAGGACGCCCTGTTCTCGCCCTTGTCCAATAACAGCAGTCCCTCTGGCTCGGGCCCGCCCTCCAACTGCTCCACGCCCTCTCACCCGTCATCACCCAATCGGTGCACCTGGAACAGGAGCAAAGACAATAGCATTGCCTCATTCGCTGATTCCACTTCCTCGTCCACCACTCCCGTCCTGTCAGAGGCGGAGATGTCATTCAGTTAAAATTATTACTTGTAAAAAAAGGAAAATACATACTTTCAACTAGGGTCTATAATGATTATAATGTGGGATAGTAATGATATTAATTAACTAATTTTGTGTCTTTTTTTTATTACAGACTGTTTTGTCCTTGTCTATAGAGCTATATTATTTTTATTTTTGCTGTTTTTGTCAGATGACACATCATACCTATTATTGGAAGAATCATACTCAAACTTTTTATTTTTTACATTTGACTTACTTGACTGTATGTCTTGCTTTTAATGTCATCTCCTTTCATACCTTTTTCTTTGCATCATTTCCCTTGTTGTCTGGTCAGTAAGCTTTTACAACACCGTTAGCTTTATGTTCACACTGTTTTTGCGAAAACGTTTCTGTTTATAACAGCTTTAACCTCTTTTGTGACACCTTTTTTAAAGCTTTGAACTGTGTCGAGAGAGGAGCAGGGTTAAAAAACGAATGTCTTTGTTCAGGAAAACTTTCTAACATGCATACATTTGACCATTTTTTAGAGACCAGAGAAAAGGTTTAAATGTTTTAGGTGTAATGGCAGTAGCTGACCAGCAAACGGTGCTGCAGCCTTAACTGTTTATTGTAAATTGGTGGTTTGAGCTTTCCATTCATCCAGCTGGATTATCCTGTTGTACTGTACCCCAACACACACTCACTCATATACCTGTCTCAGCAGGATTTGCTGTGACATTGGTCAGGATAAAGTCTCTCGCCTTTAACCACCAGTCAAAATCAAGCCACAGTTACATGGGGGGAGTCAGCAGGCAGTCTGTGAGTGCGTGTTTAACACACGCTTGACAATGTATTTTATACTGAAGCGTCTATGACCGTTCTGTCCACACACAGTGGTACGCATACACAAACACACACACATACAGTTTATTGGTTCAGGGGCATAAAGTCTCTAAAATCCTCTTCCCATCCAATCTACCCGTTTTTGAAAAACCGAGCACAAGTGCACACTCAATGATAATTTTACAAATATCGCAGATTACTAAGCTCTGCGCGCGCGTGTGTGTGTGTGTGTCCTGAAGTTAATCTTTTGATGGAGACATCTGCTTTTTGGGAGAATAATACATCCTACTAAATGGAAAGCGTCTGCTCAGTGGGTGTGTGTGTCCATTTGCATTGGTGCAGTTAGTTTGACACTTTTGCAGCCTGGATAATGACATACAGCATGCTTTAATAGCAATGCCACTGTAGGTCTTCAGATGATGGTTTAAAGCTGCACTATAACATTTTAATGAAAAAATGCAGTCATATTTTTTATTTAAAATCACCAAATTAGGCAAACACATTAGGGCAATTCACTTCCTTCTAATTGAAACACTGTGGATTTTCTCAATTTGACAAATCATTATTAGTGTTAGATACGTGGTAAGAAGCCCTGTCACAGCTCAGAAAGTGACCACTTGGTCAAAAACATTTACTATAGGTCTGCAGAAGTCAGTTTTCTGCTACTTTAATTCACTGAAGCCTCAAAATTCAAAGAGTTACCTCTTATTGCCATTAGGGGCCATCATGTGTCGCTATGAAAAACAGCAGTTTAGTTCACTTGTTTTCAGAATTGTCAGTGGACATAGGAACAGTGTGTGCATTGTATTTTAGGATGAATGTGCCCTCAGTTTGTTTCATACTCTATTCAAGCCAAATACTGAATGTGTGGTTGTGGTGCACAAACTAAACGGTACTTTATGTAAAAATCTTCCTCGCTCTATATTTTCATCCATTACAGGAGACTTTTTCTTTTAACAACAAAATGTTCTTGTCCACTTTGAGGGGTAAAATAATGGCACTCTGTGTATATGTATTCTATGTGTTTAGTTTTATGTGAATTTTACTACTGACCACAAGTGCTGAAGAGGGATGGAGGCCAGGAGAGAAGGATTAGGGAAGAAACGAGTGAAATAAATTTTTCCCTTTTCTTCAAGAAAATATTGTTTTTAGGTGAGGTCCTCTCTTACCTCCCTCTTTCAATGAGCACTGCCTGCCTGTCTGTCTGATTATTCCCCCTCACACACAGTCTTTGTAAACGATCGTCTATTTAAATGGAATTTTACCTGGGTTATTTACATTTTTATTGATGGAAGAAACTTTCTGTATACATTCATTCAATTAACAATTTGCAAAGTGTTTTTTCATATATCCAGCCCCCATTACAAAATTAGTATGTGCGTCTTCAAGTTAAAGATAGCAACTTTAAGCCGATAATAGTTATGAAATGCTTGGTTTAACTTAAAGGTCATCAAGCAACATCAACATCTCTGATCATTTACCAGTCAGGGATTGCCAGCCTGTTCACCTCTGGTTGTCCTGTACTCAGTGTGCCACACTGCGTGCAGTATGTAAATGTTTTTGCTCAGCTATCTCATCTTGGACACTAATGTATACAGTGTGAGTATTTACTTTATTCTGTGGAGACAGTGAGAGGTGAAACTGCCACCAGTCAACTCAAATTAAAAGGTTTATTTCCCCCAAAAAAGTCGATACATTCCTCGCAGGCTGTCAGCTTTTAGGGTCAAGGTAGTCCAAGCCATTCCAAGTCCAGTGAGCAAGTATTCAAAGTAAGATTTGGACTTCATTACCAGGTACTCAGGGGTGTTTTCGTGTTTTTATGTTTGAGGTGAAACATCCCATTTTAGTACAACCCCTTTCAAAGACTCTTGTTATGTATCAAAGCACTTTTATCATTCTTGTTTTTGTTGTTTGTAAAAATGTGTTGATCCTGTGACATGACCATCAATACAACCACTGTTCAGTGATTTTTACATTTTGTGTGAAAAGCAGTTTATTTTTATGAGATTTAGTGGCTGTTGGCAAAAGAGTCGTTGAGCACATTTTGGGTATATGGGAAAAATGGGTTCACGTTCACGGAGCACATGGCATTTTAGGGATTTTACCTTATATTTGACCCCAGATTGATCAGTTAACTGTTGGCTCCTAATGACCTGCTGTTATACTAGATCGCTATTTGTACATAATGACTTGTTTGATTGGTGAAATACGCAAGATACCTATCATTTGAAACTACTCAAATTACTGCCACAGTTAATTATGTTGTTTTATTTTCTAGCTGATGATATCAAACTCAAACCCACAGACTTATCACACGACTCAGCACTACTGAGCGTTCAGCGTCTTTCAGGTTTTATGGCCCTTCACAAGTTTTGGTTCTGTCTCAAGTTTGTTTCCAGTCGCAGCCATTTTCAATGAAAAACTTCTAATTAAGTCAGTGTATGCTACATGTCTTGACTAAGATAGCAATTATCTGCTGAATTTTTTTAGCAGCTAAAAAGCAAGAGTTGGAAACTGAAACAGAGCTGGAAGGAGAGTTTAGGAAAATACTGGACCAACATTTGTCAGGTGGCAAAAAAACACAACCTACAGATGTATGATGCCCTGTGTTTTGTTCGCTAACCCATTTGCCATATTAACTTTAAAATGTCTTAAGTAATAAGTAAATATTGTGTGCCCCCAAGTGGAAAAACATATTATTACTGTTGATGAAAAGAAAGACGCTAAATTTGTGTTACTGTAAGGTTTAACTTTTTTCTTTGCGACTCTGTGATAGTGTTACTTAACATACTACATGCTAAACCATTAGCATATGCACCATACACATGGTGCTATCTACCAGTCACAGTGCTAATCCTGGAGTCAGTACTTTTGTCATATTTTGTGCCAAAAGTGTAAAACTCCCAAGAAGCCACTGTAGTCCTTTTAAAACATAATTACGAAGCAAGACATTTGGTTATCACATCTTGCATCACAGTCTTTATTGACTTACACTGTAAGCCATGCCACTGAGGAGGCAGACCTTAGTTCTCTTTTCTTCAGTACATGCTTAGATTTGGCCTGTGCCGCTTTGGCACACAGAGAGGAGGGAGAAGAGAAGTCAGTATGCTACCGCCGTTAGCTAGTTTCCTTCCCACCAGAATGGAGCCTGGGGGTTGTTTCTTGTCAGCCGTGAGCTTTAACCTCTGTTATTTCTGTCCTGTTTATGTTGAAAACACTCATTTAAACAGACACGCACAATATCATACTCTTACACAAACACGGCAGCGTACCATTAGACACCAAGCTCACTTCAGCATCACATACACACTCATTCGCCCCATGACTTGACTGTTATTAGACATTTGGTGTGAATATTCTCCCTCAGGCCCACCCTGAGGCCTCTGGCTGTCATGTCTTCTCTCCGTCTCTTTTCTTCCTCTCTCCACTCCACTGTCCCACTTCCTCCCCTTCAGTTTCACCCAATAATGAGACCATCTTTTACTTTTGAACTAGTTAAAGTAATTAAAAGCAGCAGCCGTGTTTGTACACTTCAGAAAGCATGCAATACACATTAGACAAGATATATGTATGTAGTGCATTTCGTTGACACTGTGTAGTTTATGATTGTCGGATGTAAAGGGAATACTATACAATGATCCAGATGTAATATTTTATTGTTTATTCATAATTAATATAAAGTATATAACTGAACATTCAGTAATAAACTTAAAACTTCCTGTTGCAGAGCTGAACCTTGTCTGCTTGTGTGTGTGTGGAAGACAGTGTTTGTGCACAGTCGTACAACGGCCTTTTCTGCTCTTTTTATCCTCAAAACCTAAGATCAGTGCAACATTTTCATCTGTGCTTTTGGTTTCTTTGTTATGGATGTGGTTGTTTGTGTTGAGTTAGAAACTAGCCGCGTCTACGTAGCTTAAACTGCACGCTAATATGCAAAACCACTGTAATATATACATTTATTTATTTATTTAGTGTTTATTTCGAATATATGTAAATGGAAACATCTGACAAGAAAATGCAATCAAGTAAACAAATCAAAATGATTAAATAACAAAATAATAAATTAATTAATAATAGTTACCGCCAAAGAAATGTTTTGAAGCTCTTGTCAGTTTCCTTACATATTCGAAAAGGAGTGGGGAAGAAGGAAAAAAAACGTATTTAATCCCACCTTGTGTCCACAAATCAAATGCTTACAAATAATCTACCCGTGTTCCAGATATTTACACATCAACTTTGTCATACCTAAAAGCAATTCAAAATTTACATCAATTATTTAAAAAAGGAAAAAGAACAAGAAAATAATGAATTTAGGCAATTTAGAAAATATGAAATAATAACAATGAAACTAAAAATAAATACTAGCCCCAGAAAACACTTGTTGTTTATTCACCCCCTTCATCCCTGTAACCTGTGAAAACCATATCTTTATACCTGATTTTAAAATGATTTATGTTTGGACATTGCTTTAGTTCTTCATTGAGACTGTTCCATAGCTTTACTCCAGAGAATGAAATGCAAAAACCTTTCCCGATTGTCCGTGTCCTGTTTGTTTTAATTTAACATTAATTTTGTTAAAGGGGCTATATGTAAGTTTTTGACTTTAATAAATCAAATTGTCATTGCCTTATTGTCAGTGGGCTCAAAACTCACTTAGAAATGAAGCACACTCCTGTTTTGTCCGTTGCTTGTATCAGCCACTATTCTGCTTTTAATGTGAGGTCTCCGGGTCGGATTCAGCCCTGCGCGCGCCCGAGGCTGTCTCTTACTACAGCGACAAAACGGCAGCTAACGACATGCAGTCCACTAACACCATAAAACAACCGGCTCACAGCAAAACATAGACTCCATGTAAGGATACAAAACAACAATAAAGGTTTATGTGCTGAAGCCCATTAGACCAAACAGGTTCAGATGATGTCGAGTTAGAACAAAGTGAGCATTAGCTTAAAGCTGGAGAAACAGAGAAATTCACGTTAGCTCGTCGGCTAACAGCGAGCAGTTGCTAATGTTGTCTGGTGCAAAGTTATATCACTTTCACATTACTTCACCAACTAATGTGACCCATGTTACTTTACTCTGTACCACTGTTATGTCAAAGTGTCAAAGCCTGCAAGAAATTATGTAACGGTAAAAGGCAAATGTGGAGCGATTTGTTTACTATCCTATTGTAATGCAGCAACGAGCAGCCAGCTAATGCTACATTAGCCTCGATTTGTTGCTGTTTGCTTCATAACGTTCAATTTATATTTATTGCCTTTACCGGTACACAGCTTCTCCACCTCTCAGTTGCTGTAACTAACATGACCCACATAATATACAACCCAGAGGAAGAGCCATCCACTAACACTACAGTAAATTTACTTACTGCGGTTTGTTATAAAGTGTGACACAATCTCGTTTTAATATTCAGTCCAGCTCACTAACAGTTTCATTATCATCCAAAACATGTAGCTGTGCTAAAATTGCTGGGCCTCTGGTGACAGATACACAGATAGTAAAGACAGTTACTGAAAACAGCAGCCGAGCTAACAATGTAGCATGTTGGCTAAGTGCAGTCACTGTAACTTTATCATGTAACAAGCATGGATTAGTTCAACATCAAGCTGATAAAAATATTACTGTAACGTTGTAGTGGGAGTTTACCTGAGTTTCCAGCATGTTGTGTGAAGCTGGCTCCCTACCTGTCTATAGCCGCTCTCACTTTGCCTTTTTTTGGGAGTACTGTGCCAATATGCCGGTGTCTCGCTGTGCTGAATGAAAGGTACGGCGCCGGTGTTGATCTTCCTCTGAGACGGGAAGGTTGAAGTAACAGAGCCTGAACATGTCTGAGTGAAAAGCCACAGCCTGCATGCTGGTGTTCCTGCGTTTATTGCAGGATTTCTGTATGAAAGTGGTTGTGTTTCAGATTATGCTCGCTCATGAGTTCAAGTTTGTATGAGCTCACGCCTGGTAGCAATCTTAGAACTGCACCGCTAGTGGCTGCTGGAAACTACAAAATACCCAGGAGCGAATACTGAAGAAAATTAGCAGTTCAGTATTATTGCTGGCAAGGTTTATTTAAATAATTTGTATAATTATTAAATATAATTATATTATTAACTGGTACTACATTAAATTGGGGGGAGAAAAATCTTAAAACTTTCCTTAGCACATAAAAAATCAGAAATTGGCGCATTGTGCATACTGGATACCATGCGCAAACAATACTGGATGTTCATACGTCAACAATGTATAGTTGCTCGATCTACCTGCTTCTGGTTAAATTGGAAAACAAGGGTTATTAATAAATGCATTTAGTGTTAGATAGTGTTGTGTTGAACATGTAGGCTACAGTATGTGAGGGGTCTTGGGTGATTAGACCCCATCATGACGTCATCATTTTCAGTTGTAGTCAAGTCCTTCCCCGTAGCCTTGTGATTTCTCATCCCTCTACTCTCTCTTCTCATCACTTTCTGCAGGTGTTCCACCCTGAGTCTTGGCTCTGCTCGAGGTTTCTGCATCTAAAAAGGAAGTTTGTCCTTGCCTGTGTCCCCAAGTCCTTGCTCATGGTGGGAATTGTTGGGTCTCTATTAACAATATTAAGTAGCCTACGGTCTCGACCTGCTCTAATGGAAAGTGCAAGACTTTTGTTATGAATTGGCACTATGTAAATAAAACTGAAACTGAAGCTATTAGCTGTACGGGAATATCCCCCGTCTAGACAGGGGTGGTGGTGAAAGAGTGAACAACAGCCTGGCCGAAGATCTGGATGGATGTCATCTGAAGCGGGAGTCCTGACTCACTGGACGCTGATACAACTTTCACTAAGCTTCATTAGTGTTGTTCTGCAACTAAGCCTGACCTTTGACCTTTCTGCAGACAAGAGAAAAAACAGTTTGCCCACGGGGTCAATAACAATATAATGACAATAATCAGAACAGGCAAAAGCAAGAGCCTGTCCTAAAGGAGCTTGATTAAGAAGCCCACACACGTTAGACGGGGGGGACCATTGAGGTGTCGTTCTGTATATTTCTACTGTACTGATATGCGTGTGTTTCCTCCCTGTCGATCTTCAGCTCTTGGGTTGCTTTGTGTCAGTGACTGATATGATGATGATAATGACTTACTTAGACGCATGCTGGAGACGTGACAGTGAATATGCCTCGCGTAAACATCCACCCTCACTCCACATAGAAAGGAAGTGACACCATTTGCTGCTGCTGTAGTATCCAACAGGCAGCTTATAGGCCAGACGGCAGCTTTATCGTCACGCTCTCATCTCCTCTTCCTCTCCTGCTTTTCTTCCTCTTTTCCCTCCTCTGATCCCTCCCTCATCCCATGCTGGGCAGGGTCACAAAGGTTAGTTTGAGAACATAATCCGTCAAACATCACTGATTACCTGCTGCAAATCCTCAGTAATCAGCGACACACAATAGATGCTCAGAGGAGGCAATTGGTTTGGGAGATTATGCACATTTTATCCAAACTCAGTTATGCATTCTGAATATCACCTGCGTCTTTTCAAAACAGCCACAACCTCATAAACAAATTGTTGTGCCGCCTGCGAGCTCTAAACACATCTCCTTTTTATTTCACAAAGACATTACTCTCTCTTGTGTCATCTTCATCGCTCCACATTTAACTGTTTTGTTTCTTCTATTTCTTTTTCTGCTTGTCTCCATCCTTTTCCTGCATTTTTTTTTGCAGATATAACAAAATTCTTCTTCTTCTTCTCCAAACACTTTCCTTCCTCTTCCTCGAGGCAGACTTTAATCCCACAACTCTCAACCTTCTCCCGCTCATTCAACAGTCCCTCTTTCATTTTTCCTTCTCTTCCTCCCTGTCAATCTCATTTCCTCTTGTTTGCTAAAAGTCTGGTCTATCCTCTCTCTTTGTCACGGCCGCTTCTGCCTGCTCTCTTTGATTGAAATCGGGGGTTTTTTCTATCCCTTCCTCTCTCTGTCATTTTATCCCCCTCATCCTCTCACTCCAGTCTGTCTCTTTTCCCTCTGGCTCTATCCTCGCTGACATAGTTGGTTCTTTTTATCCTTTCACAATTCTCTGAACTGCAGTGGACATCCTCTTTCACTCTCTAGACATTAGTCCTCCTGACATGTGCCTGTCTCTCTGTTTCTTTCAGTTTTTTATCTTTTTCCTAATTTTTTAATGAGGGCAATAAATATTGAATGAATAAAAAATATTTATATAAAGTACTTTTAAAGTAAGTTACTTTGCAACAACATCAACGTCAGCTCTCCATATTGTAGAAAGTGAGATTTCGATGTATTTTTTTGAGTGCTATATAAATCAAGGCTGTAGGTTTCATTTCAACATTGGTGGGGACACATGTTAAGTGGGGGTCTGAGAGTCCTCCCACAGAAGATTTTGAGCGTTTAAGCAATTTCTGCCTCTGCATCAATTTATGGTAAAAATGTGTTTATTTATATACAGGGAAACACAAAATTCAGGCAACATGCGACAGTTAAAACTGTATGTAAAAATTGAAAATGTAACAGAATATAGTGCAGTAAGGCTCTCAGGCATTCTGTGTTGCTTTCAAGTTTGTTTGCTCCTGTAGATCAGCATTTCTCATTTAATATCATCTCTGCTGAGTCAACACACATGCAAGTGTCATTTAATCTTCCGTCCTCTTTAGAAGTAACTTAATCTCTAACCTAAAACCCGTTTGGGTACAAGTGCGCTACTCTTCATCGGAGGAGGGACACCGAAACTAATTGAAAACACAAAT